GCTGGCCGCAGGGGGCAGGCTGGTGCTGGGCTCTTGTCACGGGCTCGGTGTAACGCCCGCTCCCGCCACACACACGGGGCCCCGGCCCCTCGCGCTATGGGCCCGTAGCCTTGGCCACAGGGAGCTCTGCCCCCCCACAGACCCAGGCGGGGCGCACCCCGGCTGCTCCCCTCGCTGGGACCCCAACCGCCAAGCGGGAGCCCGCCCAACCGCAGCAAGAACGAGCCACGGCGGTTCCATGGTGTAATGGTTAGCACTCTGGACTCTGAATCCAGCGATCCGAGTTCAAATCTCGGTGGAACCTGAGTTTTTTTTTCTCGCCCTTCTCCAAGCTGCAGGTGGGACCCTCCCGCTCTGTCTTACTGACATTGCACTGTTCTTTTCCCCGAGAGATCTAATTGCTGTCCATACAAATACATTAATTCTTATTGGATCGCTGTGGTCCCTTACCCAGCCCAAGTGCTTTGGGAGTTATTGGTTGCAATAACCAGTAAGGAGTAGAGTTCTTCTGTTACACTAATAATCATTAATACCAGGATCATTCGGTGTAGAATAATATTTCGGAGGAGACACCTGTAAAACTGTTCAGCTGTCTCCCTGCAAAGAGCAGCCTTGAATTAGGGCAGCGGGGAGACTCAATCAGGCTCACAAACCTCTCAGCAATAAGCACAGAGTGGGGCTGAAAGTAGCCAAGTTACAAGCAAATCAATGGTGAGCTGGAGTTTTGAGTCCCTGTGCTTAGGACAGGGGTGTCCAAACTTTTTTCAAAGAGGGCCAGATTTGATGAAGTGAACATGCGTGAGGGCCGACCATTTTGCCTGACATTCTTTGAACCATTAAAATTAAATGCAAATTAACTATTTTATGCAAAGTTTATTGCAAACGGCATACTTTTCATTTCGTCACATGGATGACAAATCTAAACAGGTGTTAAATCACTCTGCCTTTCATATCTGAAGGCCAGATGAAAAAAAAAATCCAGGAAGCTGAAATATATGTCAGGAACATTGTAAAGTACATTACATATTATTGGTAATAAAGGTTGTCTGTCAACTTTTAAGTTCAAAAAATATGAACAGGAACATAACCAAGCGCTCTGGATGCTTTTCATCAGTGATGGGCATCCTAAGTCAGTGAGTGGGCTGCATGAGTGGCCCTTCTCATCTTAGTGGGCAGAAAGACTGTCATAACCATGACCATCTCCTAGGATAGGGTAGTTTTGCTAGCTGTGCTTGCATTCGGAGAATTTGCATGGTGTGCTGATTCAACTGTAGCAGCATTTTGAGTGGATGTACAGGGAGCGCACAGCTCTCAGTCAATGTTGCATGCACTCAGCATGCACCTCTTCACATGCCCTCGCTCTGTGTGTCACTTTAGTAATAGGAAGGAAAAAAACTAATGCAGATGGAACCCAGCAGAATCTGGCAACTGTGCATGGAGTACAGTAAACAAAATGTCTCATGGGCCACACATAGAACCCCATGGGTCACACGCAGGCCACAGGCTGCCCGCCACTGCTTAACACATAAGTAACTCATTGGCCACAGGGTGTGAACAACTTGGCATAGGAGTTTTACACGGTGGATTTTGTACTCTAGGTATGACCAAGCATGGGACTCTACCCAGTCAACTGAAGAAAATGGTCTCCATGTGTAGGAGTCTCCAGTGAGATGTCCAGGACTTGGCAGAACTATCACATCAGCAAGGGCAGTGAAGGTAAACTACCACTCCAGTCTGTGAAAGAGTTCACTATGTCGAGGAGGGCTCATGGTGTGGGGGCTTGAAGAGGAAAGCAAGTAGGACTGAGCCTTGTGTGTGAGGATCTCTGGAAATGTGCTGTGTCCACAGAGAGTGTTAAAAAAATCTAGAGCTATTTGGGAACAAAATGAACAGTCAGTGTGCTCCACTTCACATCACCTCAGTTCAAAGATTGGGTAGATTTTTGAAAACCCTGTCTTTAGTCTTGAAGATCTTACATCTAGTCTTTCTCCTGAAAAAAAAAACTGTTGGAGAGAGAAGTAGGTCATAAAGTTCTGCTTGGCAGGGGGAAACTCATTTAGCAGGAGGGAGCAGAAGAAGATACTCAAGCATTCGCTTGGGCTAAGGCAGAAACAGCTTTGAATGTGTCCTACATGATGTGAATAAAAATCTGGTACCACAATGTCCCTCTTACCACGGGATCAGAAAAAACACAGGTGAGCAAAGCTGTTTTGAGCACTTATCCAAAAATGCTGTTGGGAGAATGAGTGTTGCTTAAGGACTGTCTAATGTAAAGCGATGACACTTGGGTACAATCCCTGAAATTCTTATTTCATAGGGATTGGATTCAATTCTGTGGAAGTCAGTGAGAGCTTTGCCATTGACCTCCATGGCACAGTATTGAAACCAAGATGTGAGGAGTTAAAATGATACTAGTGGCCATATAATTGAACTGGAGCCTTTAAAATTTGTTCTTCCACAAGATTGCTTTCGGCAGTGGAATTGATCGGTTACACATCTGCATAATTAAGGGGAATGTTCTGATCTCACTTTATAGAAATGTAGCCCACCGGCATTAAGGAGAACTATGAATATCAAGCACCATTCATTGGGATAAGAAGAAACCCTTAATGGAATCTTTTGTTTATTTAAGAACATGCTGTTAAATTCACACCAATATGCGAACATTGAAAATAACACTGAAACATTGAAAATAAAAGATTGAGTGGAGCCATTGATTTGCAATAAAATAAAGTACATAATAGTTCATCCATTAAAGAAGAAGGATGCTCTATAATAAGGGCACTAGATCAGCCCTCAGGAGATCTAGGTTTCATTCCTTGGTCTACCACAAACTGCTTCTGTGACCTTGCGTGTCACTTAGTTTCCTCTGATATGTTTACATTGCAGTGAAAACTGCATAGCTCAGACACCAGGCTGTGGATTCAGGCTGATAGACTGAAAACTGCATTGTAGATGCCTGGGAGCTGAGGCCTACTTGCCTCATGAGATCATAGAGCCTAGGTTCTACACTGTAATGTCAGAGCCCTGCAAACTCAAGGCTGTTATCCTGTGCCACTCTCAGGTCTTTTATTGCAGGGTAGATTACTTTCGGTGCCGCAGGGCACAAGAGGTGATTTACATTTTTCCCTGTGAGTGCTCCATCCCTGGTCTGCCCCAGGACTCCCACTCCACTCTGCCCCTTTTCCAAGGCCCTGTCCATGCTCTGCCTCTTCCCACAGGCTCTCCTCTCCCTCCGCCCTAGCTCCAGCTCTTCCCACCCTCTCTATGCCCGCTCCCTTGAGCCAACCTGCCACTCCCTCCTCTCTGCCTCCTCTCCCCCAAGCATCTCCCACCTGACAAATAGCTCATTGGCGGCCAGCCCTGGGGCTGTCAAACAGCTGATCAGTGGCCAGTCCCAAGGCCAGAATCACTGGGGCTAGTGGGTGATGAGCACCCTCTATTTTTTTTCTGTGTGTGCTTGAGCTCTGGAGAACCCACCAATTAGGCACCTATTCCTGAGGGAATGTCCACGCTATAGAATGATGTCAATCTAAGGCTTTGGCCTTTTTTGTACTAACCCCCATCATCAATCAAATGTGTGTGACTTCAGCTACGCAAGCAGCATAACTGAAGTCGATGTATTTACTATGGCGTCTAGTGTACGGTAAGGTCAGTAGGGGTTGCTTTCCCAAGATGCCAGCTACTTTTCTTGTCTTGATGGAATACTGGCATTGATGAGAGAGCACTCATGGATTGCTTTATCATGTCTAAGCAGACATAATAAATCGACAACTGGTGGATCAATCATTGCAGTATCAATCCCCATCTATACATTCAGGTTTAAAGTCCTGTCACTACAGTGTGGTCATGGATAAACACCTCCTTAAGGGTACTAGCTAACAGTGCTGGGAACCCGTTTACACTGCAGCTTTACAGGGCTGTAACTTGCTGCACTCTGAGTGGAGGGTGTTTTTCCCTACCCCTGAGCAAGAAAGTTACCAGGACTAAGGTGCATACAGGATTGGGATAGCAGGAAGTGTGGCAAACCAAGAATGAGGAGCATTGACATAGGTTTGAAGGCAGCCAGGTTTGAATTATATGGGATACTTCATATCGGTAATGAAGGGTAGTAACATTATTGATGAGTATGTACTTCAGCACTGGAATAGCAGAGAATTCAGCAGTCTAGGGATGAGGTGCATTGGCATTACCAGGGCCAGCTTTAGGCTGATTCGCCCGATTCCCCCAAATCGGGCCCCACGCCAGTGTGCTGGCATGGCTGGCTTCTGTGCACCGCAGAACGAGTGAGTTGGCCCCAGGGCCCAGGGTTTGGTGGGAAGGTGGGAATTTAAAGGGACTGTGACTTTTTTTTTCTGTGCGCTGTTTTTTTGTTGGGTTTTGGTTTTTTTTTTTTGGCTCAACCAAAATTTTGTATGTGTTTTTTTTATTTTTTATTTTATTAATTTTTTTGGTGAGTGTCAAGAAAAAATCCTGGCTGCCGGGACCTCATCGAAATGGTTCGAATTGGGCTCCGTACTTCCTAAAACCCTCCTGGGCATTACTGTCCTTATCCTTCTTGTATCTTGTCCATTACATTTGTTTCTCATAGTATTGAATTTAAGTAAATGAAAAAAACCCACAAATCAAACTATCACCACATTGCAGCGTCTCCATTCTTCATTTAGAGGACACCCAGGTTTCTGTAGCAAACAGGGAAACAACGCACATTCCCAAAACCTATAGCCCAGACCAAGTATGAGATTCACATAGATCCTGAATGTTTTATGCAGGAGAAAAGGAGAACAGGTCACGCTCATAATTATGCATTTATGGCCACGTTCCGGAAATTGATAGTCTAGCTACCAAAACAGGCCCAGAAATATGCTGCAACATCATCTTTAATGTATGCATGTAGATATCTGTGTTACAGCTACGAGTTATGGCCATGCATGTCTGTGACTTGTAAATGAGACCTATGAGGAACACAGATCTACAAGGCACCATTGCTACATTTAGGGCATATGGTCAAAAACACCTAGGCATCTACCCGTAACTCTTAGGGTGAAATCCTATCCCCACTAAACTGAAAGGTCTATGGTTTCACCCTGCAAATTGGTCTAAACATGGGGTTTGAAGGAAACAAAATGAAGGTTGGCAACTGTCCAGCACTATCATTGCAGGTTTTCTGGCAGATGCCTGAACTTGGTCCTCAGTTTCCAAAATATGTATTGTCAATCCCATCAAACAATGAGCAGTTCAGAGAATGGTTTGGATTAGCAAGTGATAATAATTCAGAATTGTTCTTGAAAGTCTGATGACCCAAATTTCCACTTCCCCTATCAAAGGCCTTTCTATTTTAACAGGAAAGGGAGACAAAGGCAAAGCAATACAACCTATGCTACTCATTCAGAGGACAAATATTTCCTAAGGAGGAAATCCAATCAATATTTTCCCATTTTCTAACAAGCAATGACTCATTACAATGATGCAGAGATAATTCACTCCGTTTTCCAATCAAGCCTCTAAATTATAGAAGAGAAGAGTCACTTTAGGACTCCCCACTTTCAGTCTCACATAATATCACCCAGGGAAAGAACTCCTGAGTACAAAATCAGCCGTAAACTCTACACTAGGGTTTCCCAACCTATGGGTCAGGGCCCAAATATGGGTCACCATTACATTTCAAAAGGGTCACCAAGTGTCTCCCCAGGTGGCTTTGCCCTCCCTCCTCCTCCTCCTCCTCCTCCCCTTCCCCGCCCCCCCATTTTTGAATTGCCTTGGGTCACCAAGTCTTCCTGAATTGTCAATATCGGTCCCCAGCTGGAAAAGGTTGGGAACCGCTGCTCTACACTTTCTAGTGCTACAGCTCATATAACTGGGGGGGGAGGAGGGGTGTCTCTAGAACATTTCTGTAAATCAACTTTTCTGTCCCCAAAGGAGGGGAGCAGGTCTAGAAAAAAATCAGCAGTTCTCTGGGACCAGCGTTAAAATAGATCAATGTTGAAATAAATGGGAAGGAAGAGAAGAGCTTTCTCCTTTCTGTGGGGAAAAGGAATTGAATCCCACCGTTCAGATGACTCAGTGCTTCATGTGTTGAGTCTGTCACAGTGTGAAATCATCAATTCCCTGACACCATTCTAGATCCCTCAGACACACTTGCCTAGCCTGTTGTCCCCACAAACACGCTTTGCAACAAAGACTGCGCTGGCTGCTCCATGGTTGCATACTGGTCAAGACAGAGTCAGTCATTTCTGAAGCCTGTGCTTCAGCTCTACACCTTTTTAGGCCTTAAGATGTTATTTTCTACATATGGACAAATTCTGCTGTTTGCTGACGTCTGTGTAGGTTACCGGGGCATACAGGCAATCCACAGTGCAAGTACAGCACGGGCAGCACCAGCACAAGCTTCTCCATCCTGTCTACCTAAGCACCTTGATTTTGATCTAGGGGGCTGAGAAAGAGTTTAAGCTCCACAGCCAATTCAATCCCTGCTCTTGCTGTTAAAATGGCCAGCAAGGTTGGCAATTGGTGCCAAGAACTGGACTGAGACTATTAAACTTGTTGCACTTAGCTCAATGAACAGTCATCAGATGGGACCAGTGTTCACTGCTGCCAGACAGGGTTAATTTTGATCTCTAGCATGTTTACAATCCTCAGAGACAGCCAGTTCCCCCCGCCCCATGCTTTTTTTAAGCGACTGAAATAAAAGCTGTAGTATCTGAATACAGTCTAATATGAATCTCTCAAGGTAAATGGGAAGCTGTGTCTTGAGTAACACAGCATACCCTGCTCTTAGTGTGCTTCCTCTAAAACATATGAATGGTTTATTATGCCAGAAAAATGACAAAATGCTGATAATAATCCTCCTTGAAGTTATTCCTGATCAATCCACTAGGTGTCCTACTCTTTTAAAATAATTCAGCTGCACTGAGATTTCACTAGTTTCTGAGTTTGGGCTTCATTTTTCCCTTTAGTAGAAATTAAACCTGGACTTTGAGAGTGAGGAACGCTGTAGATCTGCTTTTTGCACTTTGCTGAGGCATTCAAGCAAGAACGCAGCTCCTTCAGGAATTGTTCTGGTGAACATCCACAAGTGCTTTCCACAAAGACCTGTGTGAGAATGGAAGTGTCTTTAAAGAATCTGCCTCCTTCCCTAGAGAATGCCACAGTGGAGCCATCCGAGCCAGACACTTGCTTTACTCTGCCTTAGGAAGCTATTCTTAGGAGTTTTAAAGTGAGTCCTCTGCTGATTTGGCGGCAGTGATGACACATTCTTAATTGCAGATGCTCTTCACATAGCGCAGTTTTGACATTCCTGGCTGAAACTCCGGCCCCCTAGCACTTGAACACAATATACAGACTGGTTCTCTGGCATGCCAGCACTCACGCCTATCTGCTATCTGTCATTGTACCCACTCAGAAGGTGTTCTGCCAGTTCCAGGACAGCGTCACTTTCAAATATCTGGTAAGGGAGACGAGCTGCAGAATAGCCTGCCATGCAGGCAGGAAACTGGACTTGACGACCTCTCGAGGTCCCTTCCAGTCCTGTGATAGCGAACAGTAGTTTCCCTTGTCCACGAGACCCTCTTATTTGCTTTAAGTGCCACATTGGGATCCCAGACTTTCTGGATTCATATTTGTAGATGTCTGAGACCATTTTCCCAGCTTTTCAGTCTCTTTTCGGGATCAGTTATCTACTCAAAGTGAGTATGTGCAACACCTCAATGAGGGATGATTGCAAAGTTGCTTCTTGTCATTGAAGCACAAATCGCACTTTGCAAAAGCACTTCAATGTGGCATCCCTCCATCACTCACACTTGTCACTAAGTGCATTATGGGCCAGATCCGCTTCTCATTTACACCAGCTTTATATGGTGTAACCCGTATGAATGTAACAGAGCTACTCTTGATTTACCACTGGGAACAGAATAGGGAATCAGGCCCATGTTCCAGAAAATGCAGGAGACAGGTTCATTGTCAGACGATGAGTTTAGTATCTTCTCTTGACTATATTTAGGAAGTTTCCTGGCCAGAAATGCCCCTAGCTGTGAACTGTACAAACAGACACCAGGCAGAGTGTTTACAATAGCTTATGGCATTACCTGTAAGGGGAATGGGGCTGGGTTCTGACAATAGCCTTGTATCCTTGAACCATCAGCATTCGCTGCTGCGAGATGCTTTGCCACTAGCTAAGGCCTAGTGCAGGGCTCAGCAACCTATGGCTCTCAAGCCCAACGTGGCTCAGTACGGAACCAAATGTGGCTCTTTTGTCATACTCAAAATACAGGCAACTTTTTAAATTAAATGAAACATTAATTCACAATTTTTAAAATGTGTCATTTCTCATGGCAAGCTGGTCTGTTTTTGTCTATTTCACCTTATACCAGAGGTGACAAGAGGGCAGTGCACCCTGGCAGCGCTGCGGCAAGAGCTGACTGGGGCACGCTGCCTAGTCGAAGGGCCAGCTGAGGATGCGCTGGAGGGGATGCGTGCGTGCTCCCAGCCGGGATAGTGAGAGGAGCTGGTGGTGGCAGATGCCTCCACCTGGCTGTAGCAGCCTGGCCAACAAGGCTCAACTGAGGCTCAGCCTCCATCTGGCTGCTGCATCCTGTCCCTGGCCCTGATCCTGAGGCAGGCTCCGCGGTCTGACCCCCCATCTGGCCACTGGAAGGGCTGGTGGCAGCCCCCCCCCTGCCACAGCAATCCTGGCCTGGCCCCTCATCCAGCCACTGCTGCCAGAGTGCAGCAACCCAGCCCTAGCCAGGTAAGGTCATCCACCCCCAGAGCCCCTGCACATAGTCTGCATCCCACCCCCAGCTCCCCACCCTACTTCCTGCACCTCCCACACACCCCAACCCCCTGCCCTGAGTT